CCGAAGCCCGCCAAAATTAAATTTATATTTGCGCGGCAATCAACGATAAACATGGAAGATTCGTACCTCGATATGCTCCATGACGATCCGTTCGCACAGTACAACTATTACGGTTCCCAAGTCTACGTTAACGTTCCAGCTGCATCTCCAAGACCAAGCTCTGCTCAATTTGTACATCCGTATGTCCACCCGAGTCAGCCGAGTACAAGTACAAGTGCAAGTTTGTCGATTACATGTAATCAAATTGAAAGCGCGCAAGCGATGGTGTTGATTTCCATGTGATTGACACTTGTGGTTAACAAATATTTTGCTGTGATTCAGTGCGCCCATGCTAGACAAATCAAAAATTTGGCAGAGACAAATTTTGTCGAGATTTTTGAAAGAGCCAAACAAATTTTGTCAGTCCACGGCGACCGGAAGTCAAATCATTTTCCGGTAGACGTCTTACATTTGGGCGGGAAGCCGTCCTCTCTCCGCGCTGACGTGAGAACAGCGAGTTTCCCGTTGTCCACAAAACGTGAGTACATTTTTTGCCTTCATGCATTAAATATGTATCATTTCTTTCTCATTTGGTTTCCGAAGGCTTCAAAACGAACTAGGCAATATATAATTGGAATTTAATCTGGGTTTTCGGCTTAATTATGTGTTAAAATATTCGTCTTAACTTTCAGTTCTGAGGCATGCCTACAATCGCGAACAAAGACAACAAACAGCCCGCATCAAAGGAAGGTCATTTAACGAGTTAAGACACTGTACCTACATGGGAAGAACGATATTTTCAAAAGCATACACAGTTCTTCCATTCTGTCGAACACAGTCCTTTATTGACAGTGGAAAGTGGGAGGAAATTGCAGTGCTTCTATCAAAGCGGAACTCTGCTTTACACTCGGCTGAATTGATGTCATCGAGATTGAACGGGTCATATTGCTGGGTCTGTACGCACTGGACTGACAAAATTTGTTTGGCCCTTCAAAAACTCTCGACAAAATTTGTCTCTGCCAAATTTTCAATTTGTCAAGCGTGGGCGCACTGAATCACAGCAAAATATTTGTTAACCAAAAGTGTCAATCACATGGAAATTAACACCAGCAGCTCGGCTGCTTTCAATTTGATTACATGTAGTCGTGAAACTTGCACTTGTACTTGTACTCGGCTGACTCGCGTGGACATACGGATGTACAAGTTGAACAGAGCTTGGTCCTGGAGATGCAGCTGGAACGTTAACGTAGACTTGGGAACCGTAATAGTTGTACTGTGCGAACGGATCGTCGTGGAGCATACCGAGGTACGAATCTTCCATGTTTATCGTTTGATTGCCGCGCAAACATAAATTTAATTTTGGCGGGCTTCGGACTGAACTACTCCGACTAAAAATAGAGATAAAATTTTCCTGATT